GGGGGGATTCTAAGTGAAGAAACCATATTTAACAAATGTTTTGTTATACATTAGAATTAAAAAACCAATATTTGAAATTCAAGCTTCTTTTTTTTTAAATGAATAAAGGCCTATTTTGATTATTATGAATAAGTATAAAAGTCTTGCGTAGCTAACGCCCTAAATAGGGCCAATACACACATTATATAAGGTAAAGCTGGTAGGGTTTAACGTATTGTTATATTGTGTTATATGGGATGGGGTGCAATGTTCCCTTTAAGCTGCGTGGCAGCGCAGCAATCTCACAGACGCCGCGCAGCAGTTTTGACTACCTCGCAGCTAATTTCCACTTAAGTGTCTGTAGGCTGAAAATTTTGCGCACAAAAAAATTGATGCTGTAAAAATTTGCACACAACTTTATGATTTTGCACAAGAACCAACAAACCTCAGAGGGAACATTGGTGGGGTGGTACAGTTTATGTAATATAATGTCACTTATGATCAGGGCTGTACAGAGGAATGTTAGTCGTAGGTACCGGACAAATGTTCAATAAGTAAGGAGTTGGCATTGACATTTAAAGATAGTTTATGTTAATACATGGAAGACACAGCCTGGGAACCAAGCCGGCCAAGGCCAAGGGTATCACAAATGAGCTAGAGTAATGAGTTTTGGAAGTTTGTATGTAAATCTACCACATGTTCTATTTAAACGGTTAGACTTTTATTAATGTCCGTTAATAGTACAGTGGAGAGATCGACTGGGTTTTTGGTGGCATGGAAAGAGAGACTGGCCGCTGATTTCTCATTGAAGTGCCAGACCGACGTGTGATCATGTTACAGGAGTGCATAGAGATATATATCCTTACAAGCTCACTAATTGTAAGAGACAGATGCGGCTTATGCAAAAATAAATCAGATCATACACGGAATTTATAAATATTCTGTTGTGGTTTATCAACACAAATTGTTTCATTCCAAATGAGGCTGGTGTTTACACGGAATGTTAAAAATATGTAGATATCTGCAAACTGAAAAGACAGTTTGGCACAAGCCAGAATCTTTTCCTTTCAGAAAAAGCATTTCCACTTATCGAGATCAATAAAAGAATTTTATCTTATCTATAAAAGAATAGCCGTTTAATTATAACATAACACTCCAAACTGGAAAAAAGGTTGTTGTTTTTTTCGAAGGGGATGCGTAAACCGCAGCGGTGTACCTAGCGAAACCATCCGCTTTGGCCTGCGTAAACCACGGCGGTGTACCTAGTGAAATCGTGGGCTTTGGCCTGGGTACACCGCAGCAAAAATGAACCATTGGCCTGGCTTGAAGATATGCCTGTAAGAGAAGATCTTGTGTGGTCAAGTGGTTGAGTGCACGCCTGGCGATAAATATTATATTTTTAGATCAATTCCCAGTAGGGGATCGAGTTTTGTTTTTCTTCCCATTTTTATAAAAGATATTTTATATTTAAATTATCATGATAATTTGCAACCGTAGTTTCATGAGAAGTTTTTTGAAATATTTTGTAGCAATTTAAATATATTTTATATTAAGCATTTAGATTATTAAGTGTTTCAACAAGTTCTGACGGCCTTTGACTTTGAAAATATCGGTAATATTAGTAATAAGACATTAGAAAACAAACTGAAAAGTTCTGAAAGCGCATGTATAGTGTATGTAACATGTATAAGAGAAACATTTTGAATACTAAGGGATATTTTTATTGCATTTCATCATTCTGCGTGTAGTTGAATATTTACATTTTACTTTTACGAGCACCCAAAGAAAATACCAGTATATCAATAATATCATATGAATATTAATGTGCATGGTTGTATTTCAACCATCTTGCTTTCACTATGCATTGGCAAAATGTGCACATGATATCAACGGTTCATTCACAACCCTCAGGCTCACAGCAAATATTTTGAAAAAAAAAAGATTTTAGAAACTTACAGCGCGGTAGCAAACTGTATACCAAAGTCATAGTTATCAAAGTCATTTACCCTGTTCATAACGGAATTTGTTTCCAGAATGGCATGGCATGTGCTATTCTCAGGGTAAAACACGATGTTTTCTCATGGACATGCACATGGGACAGGATTTACACTTTTTCAAAGTTTTCTATTGGTAGCTTTTTGTTGAGAAATCGATCCTTGCGGGGGGTGAGGCTTAACCAAAAAGGGGGCCTACTCAAATCACGACTCTGGATAGGGGTTGTCCAAAAAGGATGTCCGCACAACAAACTTACCCGGAAAAGGGGGGGGGAGGGGGGTGCTCATGTCCCCTGACATTTTTTACTTATGTGTAATGCCAACGTACAACTAATTCAATGATATTTAATTTTTGTTAAAAGAGTTTTAAAAATCACTGCAGTGTTTCGTATTGATCATCATACTGTCTACTGTTGTTTTGTGTTGACAATCACTTGATATCACAATGACAATGCCTTGGACAACTTTAACTTCACGACTTCATGATCAATGTATGTGATTCTCTTCCTGTAACTGCCGTAATGTATTTGTGGCGTAATTATATCTTAGTGCTAACAAAATTGATACACTGGCTTCCCATTCATTTTGACACCACGCCCCGAGGGATCACATATAATTTAATAATTATAATACCCCCTCCCCCCCCCCAAAGAAAACATTGGGGGGGGGTTGAGATAGAATAATTTCAAATTAGCTCCCCTTAGCTATGCCTATTAAGATTGATTCACAATCATAGGATAAAACTTACTCCAATTAATAAATATATTTGTATTTCCTTATAGTGGGGGAAATAAAGTAAAGTGGTTAACTTTAAAAATAAATCATGGTTTAACATTACACCCCCAACCCAATAAATAAATTTAAATAAATAGTTTTCAGTTTTAACAAGAGTATAACATTAAATCTACAAATACAGGTTAGGCCAAAACGTTAAAGAATCGAAAAGACCATGGTTTTGCTACTTTAAATCGCTGCTGTGTACACAGGCCACAGACAATGATATCGATAGGTACACCGCCGCGGTGTACGCAGGCCAAAGTCAATAGTTTTGCTAGGTACACCGCCGCGGTGTACGTAGTGCCGGCCTTTTTTTTTGAACTGACGCTCAAATGGTAAATTAAATTAAATTACCATTTAGGCTAACCCCTTCTTAGCTTTAGACTAGTTATATTTAGTAAGGTTATCCTAGTAAGTAGTTAGTGTTAAGCCTAAGGTCCTAAATTTTAAAAAATTATTTTTCTTTGCTAGGCTAAATAATACAATCGACAATACTATTAGTAAGAAGGCAGGAGTAGATATTAAATTAATAGTAATAGCAGTCAGAGCTAGAAGTAGAAGCTAGGCAGGAGGTCTAAGCTATTACTAATGAGTCTAATGGTCTAGCCATCCTCCCCAGCTACTATTTTACTTCTATTACTTCTAATAAGTAATTCTAGCTCTGCTTTTATTTAAGTTATTAAGGCTAAGGTTAAGATTGGATCATTTTATTACATTAATTAATATATTTAACTAAGTCTAAACTTACTAATGGTAAGTAAGTGATAATAAAGGCAAAGGTGTGCCTTTACTCACGTTGTGATATCCGTCCATGCATTGAATTAAGAAACTTGTATGCACCATATATGTATTATTGTTTGCCTTGGCCTATGCCTATGTTATAAATAGCCTTGCTAAAAAGATGGAGAGCTTAGATGAGACGTATATATAGTCAAATATAGTATATGAAAAATATATTGACATCATAAATACACAACATTGTAATTGTACCTCACAAAACATTTTCATCTTTATAATAGTGTTTACAGATTGTCATTATGGAATTTCATAAATATAATAATGTTATCTTTTAAACATTTTTATTCCAAATAGGCCTAAACAATTCTACAGGACACTTTCCGGACTGCCCAGTTTCCTAAGTTTATTTCCAATGAATACTCCATGTTGGCTTTCAGTTAACTTCCACATAACAATGCTGCCACTCACATTTTTCAAAATTCCCAAGATTTTGACCAAAAAATTTAACGTCACAAAGTTTCCTAAGGTTTACAAAAAAAAAATGTAAGATAAAAGAAAGTATGGTTTTAATTAATGCAATAATATATTGAAT